CAAAGTGCAATGGAGGTCACTGGCCTAAGCCACGCGCCTTCTAGATCAAGCGTCGACCCCGTCCAGGTAAGTATGTTGCCCATTCTCTCGAGCACCCTTCTTATGCTTCCCTCTCCTTGTTTAATTCTCGCTTGTTTACCGATGTGGGATGTTTTTTTCAAAAATGATTTGGGCCGCGGGCTCGAAGTGGTGGAAGCCCAGTATTGGAAAAGGAACACGAACACATTCTAAACTACTACACATCTTTAATCATTTTGCTTTGGGTTGTGGCAAAAATCGGACACTCGTATCTAAAAATCCAATACTCTAATAGTAAATAATGTGATATTTGATTTTTTAGACCGGATAAATTTGAATAAATAATATCCACATGTATCTGAATATATCATGGAATGTCTTTTTATTTCAGTTCGGCTTATGGTTTTTTAAAAATACAGTTCAGAATGAAATTACATTAATTAATAAATGAGAGATTTTAGTCATAACTAAACCTAGGGATGGGCAAAATATCCGAAAAAATCGAACCATCCGTCATTCCATTAACAGATCTAATTACAATAAAAACTTTCCCATTCTGCTACCTGGTAGGGGCCGCGCGAACGCAGGCCCCCTCTACCACAAATTATGACGTAGGCTCTCCCTCATGGGGAGACCTTAAGCTAAGCGCCCCTCCAAAGTGCAATGGAGGTCACTGGCCTAAGCCACGCGCCTTCTAGATCAAGCGTCGACCCCGTCCAGGTAAGTATGTTGCCCATTCTCTCGAGCACCCTTCTTATGCTTCCCTCTCCTTGTTTAATTCTCGCTTGTTTACCGATGTGGGATGTTTTTTTCAAAACCACATCGGTAAACAAGCGAGAATTAAACAAGGAGAGGGAAGCATAAGAAGGGTGCTCGAGAGAATGGGCAACATACTTACCTGGACGGGGTCGACGCTTGATCTAGAAGGCGCGTGGCTTAGGCCAGTGACCTCCATTGCACTTTGGAGGGGCGCTTAGCTTAAGGTCTCCCCATGAGGGAGAGCCTACGTCATAATTTGTGGTAGAGGGGGCCTGCGTTCGCGCGGCCCCTACCAGGTAGCAGAATGGGAAAGTTTTTATTGTAATTAGATCGAATTATAGAAAAATATAATAATTATTATTATTTTCAAAGTTACATATAATATTTTTAAGATACATATAATATTTTTAAAATTTATAATTTTCGTTATTAAATTAAATTGAGAATTTTTTTAAAGTGTTTGGTAAGCGGAGACTTGAAAGAATCATCCATCCATATTCGAATTTACTATATAATATTCTTTTAAATTTAAAATTTAGATTATTAAATTAAATTGAGAATTTTTGTAAAGTGTCAAGATAGGATGATATGTGATATTTGATTTTTTAGACCGGATAAATTTGAATAAATAATATCCACATGTATCTGAATATATCATGGAATGTCTTTTTATTTCAGTTCGGCTTATGGTTTTTTAAAAATACAGTTCAGAATGAAATTACATTAATTAATAAATGAGAGATTTTAGTCATAACTAAATCTAGGGATGGGCAAAATATCCGAAAAAATCGAACCATCCGTCATTCCATTAACAGAAAATTCAGATATTCGGAGTTTACAGATCGGATACGGATATTTATTTCAAGATATTTATTGGATATGGATCGAATACAAATATCAAAATTGAATATCACTATGAATTTGTTATTTTTTAAGCAACTTATAAACAAACTCTATCTCTAGGTTCAACAATATTCGATCAAAACAAAAATATCAAAGATGAAATGAGGGAAAACCGAGCAAAAGACGAGGGTTTAGGGACAATGACAGTGTTGAAGCACACCTAGAACAAAAGGAACAAGAAGCAACCGAGAACGAAGACATGAACAACAAAGACAGATTCAAATGGAGACTTTGAAGAAAACAAAGATTCAGATTCAAGTAGAGGGTTCGAAGGTGCAAAAGCAAATGAAGACTTGGAATCGATTGGAGGTTTGGAAGCATCATAATCACGAGATGGGTAAACGAATCATTCCCCCACCTGCTATATATCGGTGACGCTAACATTACAGATTTAGTGTCGTTACTAATCGGATTATGATGTGACAGATTCAGACCATTGAGGATTAGGAGATAGGAAAAAAAAATAATAAAAAAGAGAATCATATATATATTGCTTCAAATTCTTTGTACATTTCTCGTTTAGGACAACACTTTTTAGGCGATTTTTTGTAGTCTCACGGTGAGTTTTCTTTCTCTTTCTTTTTTTCTTCTCCTTGGGGATAGCAAATGGTGATGGACACTTTGGATAATAATGCAACGGACGATTTTTTTTTTTAAACGAAACTTACATTGTTGTATATATATGCGTGCTTTACATGGAATTAACAATATAATATTTTGATTGGATTAGGAAAATTTTCGAGTACAAATTGTAAGTTTTATTCCAAGTTATGATCCATTTTGTCAATTCCTGAATATAGTTTAGTATTTGGTTGGGCTATAAAATTTATAGATAAATAGAAATGGAGATTTAAAAAAAAAATGATGATAGCAGCTTAAGCACAATGCAAGTTTGTAAAGCGTAGAGCAAGTGGATCCGCGTCCCACATCGACAAAAAGAGGACGCGTAAACGAAGAAGCGTGTTATAAAAAGGAAGAGGTGGCGACGTTGCAAATCATACCTTTCTCGGCCTTTTGGCTAAGATCAAGTGTAGTATCTGTTCTTATCAGTTTAATATCTGATACGTGGGCCATCGGCCCACAACGATATTAACTCTATTTTTTATGGGGTTGGGCCCATTGCGGTAGCTTGCTGCCGGGGTTGACGCGCGTCGCCCACGCGTTGCACTACAGCGAGGGCCTGGCGCACCCCGTCCAATTCTTCAATTTGAACTTTGCAATTAATTTATAATTAATAATTAATAATTAATAATAATAAATAATTATTTGGCCAATTAATATTCTAATACCGTGATTTTTTAATTGTAAATTAGTTTTTGAATTGCAGATATTTTTATTTCAGCAAGTATTATTCCTTTTCGCATTTAGCATTCATCAAAGTAATTTAAAAAAGGATAATCGCATCGAAATACCTGAACTTTTACAAATTTACAAAAATCCCACATAAATACCTGAACTATCGAAATACCTGAACTTTTATAAAAATCCCACATAAATACCTGAACTATAAAATTGTCATATAAATACCTGAACTTTTATAACTCCCACATAAATACCCAAACTTTTAAATTTTTTCCAAATCAATCACTTTTCCGTTAACGTCGTTAGACGTTACTGTTCACTCATCAAAAAATTGATGACTCAGCAATGACTCAATAAAAAACCTGTTGACTCAGCAAAATATTACTGACTCAGCAAAAAAAATATTATTAAATATCTAAATTTTTATCTACATATATTTAAATATATATAAATATATATATATATATATA